GTGAAGGAGAGGAAGACCCTCAACTAGGTGGACTGACATGGTGATTGATGCAATGGGCTCTTGTGTGTCAGGAAGTGTGAGGATGGCGCAGGATAGAACAGGGTTCAGATCTTTTATTCATAGGGTCACTATGAGTCATACTTGACTTGATGGCACCTAACAACAACAACACTAATTATAATTTTTCATAAATATCAGGCGTCTGAATCGAATAAAAGATTCATTCCCAAAACTCCCAGAATTAGAGCACAAATCTTTTGAACAGATCCGGTTAGTAACTGACTTTGATCTATTTTTCAGGTAAGATAAAATGAATTCTGCCTTTAAATATTAATGTGTTTCAATATATTGTTCATAGGATTTCTATGAATTGTAGTCAACTCAATAGCACCTAACAACAACAACCAATCTGCTACAGAATATAAATTTAAAATAGGGTAAAATGAACAGTATTATTATATATCTACTTGTAAAGTCTTATAAATAATCTCACTATACAATTGAATAAGTACCAATTATATATCTAAGCTCTTCCAACTATAAAATTTTTGAAATTAAGTTTTGAATCATAATCAACTTTAAAATATAAAAAAAATTTTGAAACACGCATAACTTAAACTTTTCAGGTAAGTATTTATAAATAGCTTAGGTATAACAAATTCAAGGAATTCATTTTACACAATTAAGATTCTCTCCAAACTGACAAGTAGTTACTCAAAGTCCTAAAAGTCAACTGGTATAATTTAGCAAAAGATTCTTTTTGTTGATGAATTATAATACAATATTGTTTTAGTTTTTAAAAGAATGCAACCTTCTTCTAACTTGAGAATTAACTATACACTGTTAAAGGCCATCATCTCAATGACAAAGCAATTCTCTAATTTGTAATCCATATTTATGTCATGAAAACATAATAATTAACTTCTGTTGAAATCTAAAAATAGCTAAAATGGCTTTCTGGTGCTTAATAAATTAAGTCACTTGTAAACTATATGAAAAGAACGGGGGCCGCTTGTATTAGGGTAATTTCATTTAAGGTAGAGTTAAAAGCACAGTGTTTTCTTACCCCTGAACTGATTTCAGTGCCTTTTGGTTGACTCTGCGGCTGTTTGTAGTGTCCAGTCAGCAAGCCTCCGGCGCCAAGGTTTGGAAAGCTCTGCAGATAAGCCTGGGGCCCTGAGAGCGCGCCTTCCGTCATTCCCACTGTGGCTGACTGCTTCTCCTGAGCATTACTGTGCCCTGGCCCAGCTTGTCCGGCAATGAGCTGATTTGGAAAGAACGGTAGAATGCCCATTCCAGCTGTTACAGTTGTTTGAGTTGGAATCAGACTAGACGCTGCAGTGAACCACAAATGGAAAAAGCTTTTAGTCAAGACACATTCACTTCAGTTCTTGTGATTTTTGTTAAGTTATGCATTCAATGCCAACAAACCCATTTTCTACCTATGGAGAAGACTTAATTAAAAAGGAAAACTAAGATAGCGAAAACAAAGAAAGGAAGGATACTTTTCTTATTTTCATAAATATCAATTTGTATGGGGCTCTCTGAAATACTACTTTTTTGTGTCAAGTTTTAACTGTATACTTTTGAAGTTGAGAGCAAAGTGTATGTATTTTGAGGGCATCAAGTTACAATCTTGCTTTTTTAAAAATGTCCACTTACTATGTTATGTCTGCTTCCCTACCTTCAGGTTAGGACTAAAATTTTCAGTGTAAAAAATTATCTGGCACTCAAAAGTTTGCAGTTTGACCAGATGATATAGTGGTCAGCTTGCACCAGCTCACGAGGGTGAATTATGTGTCCCCTTCCCACTCCATGAGTTCAGTATGGATCAGAAGGCACACGTAGTGAGTCAGGTCTGAGTAGTTACATACAAAACCCCACAAATGCTACAAGTCAAATATGTTTTTTTTAAAAAAAAGAAACAGAGAACCAGTTTTAAACACTGACCAGAACTACTCATATGCACGTTCAAGCTGAAGCTAAGGAAAATGAAATCTAATCCATGGGAACCATAATATGACCTTGAGTCTATTTCACCTGAATTTCAAAACCATCTCAGGAACAGGTTTGAGGTCTTGAACACTAATGAGCGAAGACCAGATGAGCTGTGGGAGGACATCAAGAATATCATCCAGGAACAGAGGTCATTAAAAAGACAGAGGAGGAAGACCAAAATGTATGGCAGCAGAGACTCAGAATATTGCACTAAAGCGTCGAGAAGCCAAAGCAGAGGGAAGAATTCAAGATACTAAAGAGCTGAACAGAAGATTTCAAAAGGTAGTGCGGCAAGACAAAGTTATTACAATGAAATGTGCAATGAGCTAGAGTCAGAAAATCAAAAGGACTGAACTCGCTCAGTATTTCTTAAGCTCAAGGAACTGAAAAACAAATTCAAATCTCAAGTTGCAATACTTAAGGATGCTTTGGGTAGAATATTAAATGAGCCAGGAAGTATTAAAAGGAGTAGAGAGTCATTATACCGAAAGGAATTGACAGACACAGAAGAATTTCATGAAACAACATATAAGCAAGAGCCAATGGTGATAAAGAAAGAAGTTCAAGCTGCTTTGAAAGAATTGGCAAAAAGTAAGGCTCCAGGAATTGATGATATACCAACTGACATATTCCAGCTAACAGATGCTGCCATAGATGTGCTCACCAAATTGTGGCAAGAAATCTGGAGGACAGCCACTTGGCCAACTGATGGGAAGAGATCTATATTCCCATCCCAAAGAAGGGTGACCTAACAGAGTGTGGAAATTATGGAACAATATCACATTATGGAATTAATATCACATGCAAGCAAGATTCTGCTGAAGATTATCTAAAAATGACTGGACCATCACATCAACAGAGAACTGCCAGAAGTGCAGGCTGGATATAGAAGGGGTCATGGTACTAGGGATATCGTAGCTAAGGTTAGATGGATCTTGGCTGAAAACAGGGAGTACCAGAGGAATGTCTATCTGTGTTTCATTGATTATGCAAAGCAGTTTGACTGTGTGGATCACAACAAACTGTACTTAACTCTAAGAGGAATGGGAATCCCAGAACACTTGATCGTGCTAATGCGAAGCCTATACTTGGGCCAAGAGACAGTCGTCAAAACAGAGCAGCGAAACACTGTATGGTTCAAAATTGGGAAGGGCATACACCAGGAATGTATCCTATCTCCATACCTTTTCAAGCTATATGCAGAACAGATTATTTGGGAGGCTGGGCTGTATGAGGCCTCAGGATTTGAAGAAGACTCATCAACAATCTGTGTTATGCAGATGACACAACTCTGCTTGCTGAAACTGAGGAGGACCCGAAACTCTTGCTGCAGAAGGTCAAGGACTGCAGCCTTCAATATGGATTGAGGCTCAATATCAAGAAAACAAAGATTTTCACCACTGGGCCAATTGGCAGCATCAGGATGGATGGGGAAGAGATTGAGACTGTTAACAGCTTTTGTTTGTTTGGCTCCACAGTCAACACTCTTGGCACCACCACCAGCCAAGAATCAAAAGATGTATTGAGATGGGAAAGTCTGCTGTTAGAGATCTCTCCAAAGTTTTGAAGAGCAATGATGCCAGTCAGGAGACTAAGGTGTGCCTGATGCAGTCCATGGTCTTTGCAATCACTTGCTATGCATCAGAGAACGGGACAATGACTAGGGATGTTAGAAGAAGAATTGATGCCTTTGAGCTGTGGTGTTGGAGAACAGTATTGAATATACCATGATTGTTAAGAAAGCAAACAGGTTTGTCCTAGAGAGGGTAAAATCAGGCTTCTCCTGGGAGGCAAGGATTCTGAAGCTTCATCTGACATACTCTGGGCATGTTGTAAGGAGGGATCAATCCTTGGAGAAGGACATCATGCTTGGGAGGGTAGAGGGGCAGCACAGGAGAGGAAGACCCTCTATGAGGTGGACTGACTCAGTGACTGGGGTAATTGGGGTGGGTGTGTCAGAGAGGGTGAGACTGGCACAGGATAGAGCAGAGTTTAGGACTATTGTATATAGGGTCGCTATGAGTCACAGGCAACTCGACGGCACATAACAACAACAACAGAACATCCCTGGTTAAACAATCAATATTTCCGAACCAATAAGCACCAAATTTAAAAGATGAATTCACCAGCTGCTCTGTGGGGGTGGGGAGGGTAGATGGGCAATCTCCTCCTATAGTCTACAGTCTTGGAAATCCACTGGAGGGTCAGCTACGAGTCAGCTCCAAATTTACAGTAATGAAATGACAGTGACAAGCGTGATAAACATAATGAATAAAAACATATTTACGACAACCAAAAAAACCCCACCTGCTTAAACTTAAAAATACCATTTACACAGTATAACTTGGTTTTATTAAAAGATGTTAAATTTATATATTACAACAATGAAGATACCTAAGTAAACCTGATTCCACACCAATTAGCAGGTTTATTAGAAGAAAGCGAAAACAGAATAGGTAACCATTAATGAAAAATATCAAATACACCTACTCTTAGCAACAATCTTGTTAGCTGTCATTTCCCGTTTACAACTGTGTAAGAATTCTCAGATGAGACCTCTGATGGTCCAGCCTCATGTGCCCACCTCAGGCAGACATCCCATAACAGTGAGGCCACACGACGGATGGTGGCTGTCAGCCACAGGCGGCATTCTCCCTTTCCTCTGTGACACCTCGTTCTACTCACAAACAGCACAGTGCAATGAGGGGATGATGTGAAGTTGTGGGCAAGTAGGGGAGGGCCGGGGAGAGCTCAACTGTATTGAGTAGGTTAGTGCAGGGAAGAAGTAGAGGGGGGTAATGGAAATGGGGTGTGGAGGGCTGCTGGGCTAGGGTGGAGGGACAACAAAGTAGAGTTTTGCCCAAGGCAGACGACAAGAGGCAATAGGCAGAGGAAAAGTGAGGACCCCAACTAGGGTGAACACTTGGGGGCAATGCATGTCAGGGAGCCACACCCCTGGGGCCTCTGAAGTGACATAGTACGAGTAGCACATCATGCTCATCCCAAGATGCACCAGGGCCCACGTGATGCGGGCCAGGAGATACCAACACTCAAGACAGGGGACAGCCCCTCACTCTCACATAACACCTATTTTGTGTTAATAATCTGGTCTTGGAACCTAACCGCGTTGATAAGGGAGGAGTGGGTATAATTAAAAAATAAACTATTTTTCCTCCATGCTTACTATGTATGAGCTGGGAGTCTCTGGGTAGCACAAATTGTTAACATGCCCAGCTTTATGTTTACTGAAAGGTTGGAGGTTCAAGCCCACTTGAAAATTTCTCAGAAGAAAGGTCCAGCTACTTCTGTCAGAAAAACCAGTCACTGAAAACTCTTAAAGATCAGAGTTCTCTCTGGGATACATGAGTCTGGCACCAGAACTGACTCAATGGTAACTGGGGTTTTTTTTGGTGTGGATTTGTTTCCCTGACAAGATACTGTACACCTTTCTCCCACAGAGCATCTAAGAGATTCAAACCTTGAACCTCACGGTTAGGCATCTGACACATTCCACAGTCAGGGTTCGCCACCAGGGTTTCTATGGCCTGCCATCAAAAACCATTTATCTAAGGAAGATGAGGTAAAGAGCAAAAAGATTACAGTGCCCTGTGGGGACTGCAGGAGGACCAGGGTGGTCCAGCTGCCTCTGCAAACTAGAAGGCTAGAGGTCCAAGTCCACCATGAGGCCTGGAAGAAAGAATTGTAGACTGCTCCCAAAAGATCAACAGACAATTCCCTACAGACTACGCCCCGAGAGTTCACTAACTTAAGAAGAATTTTCTAGTATTAAGGGTAGAAAAGCCTGTATTTTACCTCCATAGATTTTCTTTTAAAAGAAAAGCCAAGAAGCATTCTGAAGTTCTAAATGACTGAGTGACACTCAAGCTTGACCTTTCTGTAAATAAAAGTCCAGCCCTCAAATCTGACTGTTGACTGGCTGATCAGTAAATCCACATCATTTACTTTTATGTGCTTCTCCATGGTGCGCCAACTCCGTTTTCAAAGGTAGTGCTGACCCTATGCCAAGTGCAGCCTGAAGGACCATTGCTGGGGGCTCCCCGAGTAAGCCAGGTTTCTGCAAAAGAAGGGGGAGGGAAACAAGATTTTCCCTTCCATAACAGTAAAATACATATAAGAGGGGTAAAAAGAGTATACATTCATAATGAATGCACTCAACTGCTTGATTACAGGAAAGGAACAAATTAATTTTCCAAAGATCTACTATGACTGTACTTACATTATTAGTATGGACATTCTCAAACTTCATTAACTGCTTCTGGGCCAATGGTACATGAGAAAGATTCTGAAGGAATAAATTAGAAGTATTACCCATGACTGAGGTCTGTAAAAATGATAAAACATTACGTTAGCTTAATATTGAAAATAATCACTTGTATAATCCAATTCATTTTAAAGTTCATTTCTACGGACGATCTGAACAAAAGTTCTCATACACCAGTTTTAGAAATATCCCACTTTCCAACTTTAGACAATAAATTAATTCCTTTAATAAACATGAAATGTGACCATGAAGTCATGAGAATAATTTCACATCCATTCTTTCCTCCCAGTATTCTTTCATCTCCTCTCCTCACCCTTTTAGGCTTCAGTGACAGTGTCCTTATTTCCCATCATTTATTTATTCACTTAATTCGTCAGTAAACATTTAGTGAGCCCTTTCTGTGCACCAGGCACACACAGGTGGAAGAAATACAGCATTATGTTCTACTCTCATGGATCTTACAATCTCCTGTGGACAGGAGACATTAATCAATTATAAAAACAAACACAATTACAAATGGTGATAGGAACATGAAAGAAAAATAAAAAGAACCATGAAAACTATTAGGAAGGGGGCTTAATTTAGCCTGGAAAGTTTGTGGAAGGTTGTCTTGCAGAACTAACTCAAAATGGTATGTGAAAGCTAAATAGAAAAATGAAGAGATGATGAGGAGGTCTAAGGAGTAATGTGGGGCTAGAGGGAAGCATTTTAAATACAAAAAACAGCTGGGAGAAAGATCTGCGAAGGGGGAACTATAGCTGGGAACAGTGATGGTGATTAACTAAGTTGAAAGGTATAGGAAGATACAATTGTAGGGGCTTTAAAGCCTGAATTAAGCATTTTGTTTTTAGCCTTAAACAATGGCAATATGCTCAGCTTGGAACTCTCCCTCCATAGTCACACATTATTGTAATTGTTTTAATCTTTGTTTTCATATTGTTTGACTTTCTGTAATACCAAGGACTATGAATTTTTCCTCACATATGTTTTCTTTAACACCGGCTTATTTTGTTTGTTTTATAAAGTTTTTTAGAATACTTAATTCATCTATTGTCTTTGTACTTTCAATATATACAAATATAACAATCTTTATATATCTAAGTCTGCTGTTAATAACATCAAAATATACACAATAACACAAATTGCGTCTCAGCTCCCGTGTGGAGCATTTAAACAGGTCACCTGCCTCTTCATACCCTGTCTTTCTTTCAGGTTTCCTTTGTCCTTTCCTCTCTCCTCTTTCTCCTTCCATTATTGCTTCTCCTTCCCCTCCCTCTTTTTTAAAAATTGTGATTTTGAGTAAAGTTTACATACTGGGTGGTTTTTTTTCATTAATCATTCGTGTGCATTTTGTTCCACAACACTCATTACAATAGACACAGTATCAGATCAGCCATTCATTCCACACCGTCCTTCACTTTACCGATCTCAGTAATTGTTCAATATCCAAGAATTCATTTTCTCCTACCTCTAAACCCTGCCTTCTCCACCCTGGTAACTATTTTAGAGTGATTCTGTAAGAAAAGCTAGACTTAATGCCAAGCAGACTGTCCAGTGCAAAATAAAATCTAAACGAATGAATATACCAGGTTCTGTGTCAAATGCTTAAGAGTTAAAAATAAATAAATAAATAAATAAAAGACAGGCCTATTCTCTTACAAAGGTAGATTTATAGCCTGCATTCATTTATTCAATGTGAAGTAAGCATCTCACATATTAGTTTTGGTGTCTTAGGATTTTATATACAGTTTTAAATAGATCTTGAAATTAATGAGCAAAGAGTAA